GAGAGAGAGAGAGAGAGAGAGAGAGAGAGAGAGAGAGAGAGAGAGACATGTGAGAATTTTACAAGCTCTATCTCAAACAGAGCCCTTGGTAAACTGCCTGTGGATTACAGTTTCCGCTCACGTGTTGAAGGGGCTGGAAACAGGGCCTGTTAGGTGAGAATGTGAAATCTCTCTCTCCCACAGGCTCAGGCTTTGAACCCTTATTCAAGCTGGTGGTGATATTTTGGGAGCCGTGGATCTTTTAGGAGGTGAGGGCCTTGAGAAGGATATAGGTTCTTGGGGGGAGAAGAGTGTCTCAGAAGTTGATAGTCTAGGCAGCCCTGGGTTTTGGTATTGTCTTCTCTACTGCCTGATCAGACAGGATGTACACTGCCTCAGGCACACACTCTCACCGACACAGGCTAATCACTCTACTCTGCTGTGATTGACATGAGCCAAACTTAAATCCCTCCTCCTTTAAGTTGTTGCCGTCAGACATTCGGGTCACATCCACAGAACATAACTAACACAGGACCCCCTTGGTACCTGTTGGTGACACAGAAGGATGAAGTATATTTTCACCTACCAGCTATCTTCAACTTCAACTCTATGGAAAGTTACCTTGGTCCATACAGTCATGGTGATAATCCCAGTGAACGAGGAAACAGAACAGAATCAAATATGGGGCCTTTTCCCAGGTGGAAAACGCAGCTTGGCCATGACAGTGGTTGCCCACCATCTGCTCCCCACACTCCTGGTTCTGCTGTAGCCTTGCCCCGGCAGAGTGGTTCCTGAACTGCAGTCCTCACAGCTGGCAGCCTCCCCTGAGCCTCACAACAGTCCTCAGTGTGAGCAGGCAAGGGATGGGCCGCTGGTTCTGTTCTGTGGATTAGGTTATGACATTTAAGAAGGGAAATGAGTCGCCCATGCATCCCACAACTCCATCAAAGGGTGCAAGGGGCTTTAAAACAGGCACAGTGCACTGGGCCCCTCTTGGGCTCTCTCAACCCTAAAATACTGTTTGCTTCCTTGCGGTTATTCTGGACCTCCTTTGCCTCCTGGACTGTTTCCTTCTCTGGGCCCATTTTTCCAGATCCCCTTTCTACGCTCAGCGTGCACACAATGGCTTGCATTTTCTTCTCAGTCCTGATCCCTGCAATTCTCCCACAGAAGGGCACTCTTGCCCTCTGCTGCTCTTTCATTGGCCCTGGGGTTTATTTTTTCTTATCTATTATCAGCCTCCCTAACCCTTGCTTGGCTGGGTCACCTCATTTCCCTTCGACCTCCAGGACTTATTAGTCTTGCTCCAGAAACCCACAGCCTTGCTGTCATAACAAAGGAAGTGTGTGCTTGTGAGGACCACTTTGCAAACCGATTCAGCCAGCGAAGGGCACCTTGCTGCGTACTAATGATGCTTTAATCACATGTTCCTGACGTGACCGCATAGGGAGAGTGGAGTGGCTTGTGCTCAACTCTCAGGGCGGCTGAGGAAGCCTGAGCTGAAGGGGAGCATGAGACAGGATGGAGGTCATGAACCATAGGATATCGCCAAGGAAATCATAATGGTGTTTGATATGATAACCAGAAAATTTAACCACTTTCCAGAAGTCAAAGGAACCTGCTTGAATACAGATCAATGTACAGTGGACTGCATGCTCCTCTTTGTATGCTGTTAGTAGTTTTTCTGGTAAGGTCTTGCCTGATGATGACGTGGGTTCCTGGAGGGCTGGCTCACCCTCTGATGGCGTCCTTTGTGGAGGTCACAAAGGATGTGTGAGCTTACCTTCAAATACAGACCATCGATTCCAACTGTGAGACATGCACCCACAGCACAGCATGTTCAGGCTGCTTTTGTCTGGGGTGCTCTGTACCCTATATTCTTGGCTCTGCCTGGGAATGGTGGCCAGGGCCTGCCTCAGTCCTGCTACTAAAAAAAAAAAAGGACACAACACACCGGGACAGAACTTTTAAGTCTTTCTTGAGAAGATGCTATTTTTAGTAAGATCCCATTTTGCTTGTGGCATACCTTGAGCCTAAAAGAATAGACTTAGAAATAAATGCCTTTTACTTACTGGACCCTGTGTCTAGAAATTTATCAACTTTTAAGAAAATATGTAAACACACACACACAGCTGAAAACAACCTACATATCTAATGAGAGACTAAATACAGACTTGTAACTTTTCACATGAGGGGCAATTATGGAAATCACAACCCAAGTTACGCAAGGCAATAAGAGGCTGAACGTCATTGAGGGGCCCCCTCCCTCCATGTAGAGCAGAAGCCTACCTAACTTCGCTGTGTGGCCCAGCCCAAATGCTGTCTTCTTCCTTGTTCCCTGGCTAATTTACATCAGGCATCGAGTTTGGCAAGAAGAGGGTAAGATGCCCCTGTGGTAGTTCTCACTAAGGACATCATAAGGAAGGGCAGGAATGAGCTGTATAGCTTGGTGCCAGATCAGACTCCTGGGGCCTGGGGTCAGGACAGGGTAATCCGCAGCTCTGAGCCAGGAGTGATTTATCCAACTGCCTGGGTAAATTTGGAGATGACATCAGCAGGAAGAAGACGATTTGGAAACCATCCCTTTCCAAGGAGCTTTCCACAGCGAAGCTCAGCCCGCTTCTGCCCTGGCACTGCGTCACTAACAGGATGATCTGGGAGCGGAACTCAGGCCCATCCGAGTTCACAGCCGCTATGGCTCTGAGAGTACAAGGGGACACCTTGAATTTCAAATCCAGACACTACAGAAGACTTCAACTCAGAGCAGTTCATGGTGAAGGAGAAGGCCGGCCCACTCTCCAGAGCCCACCCTGCTTTGTCCTTCACAGGCCTCCCACGTGAGGCAGAAACTGCAGACCTTGACCTCCACTCCATGCCATCGATGCAGCGCACGCAGCTTGAGGGGGGGGGTCCCTGTGGCCCCCACGGGTGACTGTGCTCGTGGCCCGGCACCACTGATGGCAGCTCACGGGCGGCAAGGCGTGCGACCTGACACTGTGGGCCTTTTCTTTCCTCCTCCACTAGCAGCCAGTGGGCGGGCTTGCTCCGCTAGCTGCCATGGCAACGGGAAGATGGCTCTGCGGTGCCCAGAACAGATGTCACATGGGCTGCTGTGCTTGTGTTGGGGGTGGGGAGCAGGGAGGGGACGAAAGAGGAGGGGCTGTGCCTTTGGAGTTAAATGGTCCCACCAGAGGGAGTAAGCCACATTTGGAAGGGAATGTGGAGCAGTAACATCTATTTTCTTTCTTGTCCCCCGTCCTTTAAGCTCTAAACATACATGCACAAACACAAATGGCCTTTCATCTCTGCTCCTGAGCTGCTGGAGGCTCGCAGCTTTCTAGGCGGACATGAAAGCTGTTCTCTCTCCTGGCCTCAAATGAACATCGCCTCGGTGGCCCAACCGCGAACAGGCAGCGCTCTGCTGTCTTTTAGGGACCGGCCAGGAGGCTCCATTTGGGTGAGTCCAAGGAACCTAGCATCACGCGGAGCAGAGACCAATCAAGGGGAAATTGAAAGGCAGATGCACTGGGCTCTCCAGGCACCGACAAACCGGGCTCCGGGCTTCACACGTTTGCCACTGAAATGAAAGCGTCTCTATGTCCCCTTCCTCCTCCCCATGGGGTCTTTGATCATATCATGCCAAAGGCCATTTTATACAGACTAAACTGGGGCAAGGCTTATAAATCTACCTGTCTCAACCCAAAGACTCTTTGTCCCTAAAATAGATCTATCTTAGCTGAACTGCTGCATCAAAAAAAAAAAAAAAAAAAAAATTTCTACCACTTTCCATTTCTCCTACACAGAATTGGCACATATATGTACATTAATATGATAAACCCATATATTTGCTGTTAAGAGATTATATGAATACTAAGAAAATGCCAGGTGCCAGTGGCCTGTTTTCCTCTCTGCTTCTAGCCCAATGCTGAGACGCTAACATCAGATCAGGGAATTGGGGACCAGGGGGCGAAGGCAGAGGCGCTCCCCTAATCTGATGCATGACAGTCATTGCATGTGTGGGAGAATGAGGAAATGCTACAGAGAGTTATTTTGCACTGGGGTTTAATTCACAGGACCAGCATGCTCAGAGTGGCTGCTTTGTGCCAGGGAATGCCACAGGGAGGTGGGGGGGAGCAAGCAGAGCCAAGAAGATCTCATTTATCACCAAGAGGCAGAAACAGCACAAAAACTCTTATAATGGGTCTGATGATGGGAGGGTTGCAAGCAAGGCATTATGGGAATGTGGAAAGGGGCAGGCTCTGAGAGAGGTGTCCTGGGGTGTGAAGAGATGAGCAGGAAGAATCTGGCATTGACAGAGCACCTGTTCTGTGACAGACATGTTACATACTCAGCAAGCCGGATGGATCATCGAACTTCCTAAGAGGCAGCTACTGCTATCCCGTTTTTTAAGAATGTCAGGAAACCCAAGCTTAGAGTGGCTAACAGTCCAAGGTCATTCATCAAGGACATAGATAGCCATACTGCCCTGTCCACCTGCCTAGAGACTGACAGAAGATGCGGCCCCACAGGAAACACAGGAGCAAGAGTATCTGTCCTTTTTCAGATCTAAGCAACAAAGTTCAAAAGATCATGGATTTCAAACAGTCTCTGAAGCTTTCCTAACACCACTTAAACACATAGTAATTAAAATAAAAAGCATTGTTCACCTAGATGTACCCTTCTCATGTATCACAATGGATTCATATATCACTGGGTGCTATTGGACTTTTCCATGCCCTTGAAAGATGAGGGGTGGTCCCACCAACAATTTTCATTCATTCATTTAAATGTCGCCCTATGTTGGTAGAGCTTTTTGTGTCTGGACCTTTATCGAAACAAAACATCTTCCCAGCCCTGCCAAGATCACTGTATTTTATCAACAATCTGGCCTGCACCTGAAATCCTCGGGTGTTTGTGACTCACTGAAGGAAAAGTGGTGGCCAAGAGTGAAAGGCTGCCTGACGGTGCCCAGGTCTGTGCAGCTCTTGGGAATTGCTGCTTGCAAGCCCCAAGTCCCCCCGCAGAAGACTAGCTTCCTTGACACTGCAGTGGAGATCTACAACCACCAGGGGGCAGTAACACAAACCAGATTTGTTTCCTTCAGGTCTGAATGTGGATGTGCACAGTTTAATGCGTAAAGCCCATTATTACGAGCTTTTCCTCTGCCCACCCCCTATTAATGAACAAATGCCCAGGGGTAATGCAGAGATTTCTAAATACAGTGCAAGAAAGGGCAATCTGTACTCATACACAGGGAGTCTAACATGCAGTAATAAGTGGAAATGAAAATAATCACCAAGATGCAAGTGAGCCATTAGGCTAAAGAGCTAGCCCTCTGTCTGGCTAAAACACAGAAATGCAGATGCCTGGCTCACAGAAATGGGCATTTTAAAAATATTTATTTCACAAGTTTCTATTTACCGTTCATAATACTATCCATAATTACAACCTCAAAGCTCCAAGAGGGGTCTAGCCGGAATTCCATTTCTAGTGCTGAGCACAGAGACAGGATAGTCCTCTTAGCCTAAGGTAAATAAATGCATGAATTATTCAAGAACTCCTACGGGCATTTTAAATCATAACTTCATGCTGTAAACAATAGCACAAGTTTAAAAAAAAATTTAAGATGAAGAGCTGTCTAAATTCCCAAACCATAAAACAGCTACCGACACCCACGTCTACACAAGCTCTCCCAATGGCTGCGGTGTCTTTCTGTAGGAATCCTTGGTGTGTTTACAGGTTTTAAACATAGCAACAGAGAGAATATAATAACATGGAACCTACTCCTTTCCCTGGGAACAAAGAATATGGAATGGTCCCGCTATTTTTGTGACAAAGGGGAGATTTCTCGGTCCTCTCTTCTAACAGTCGTTTGGAATCTGAGGCCTGCAGAAAAGACACACAGCCACAGCTAGCAACCTCATCTCTAGAGTCACCCCATGCCAACCCAATATTCTAAACTTCCAGACAGATTGCACAGTTATTATCCACACAACATGGCCGAAACACACATGGAGTTCTGTGTCAAGTGACCATAACTCTCTAAACTTTCTACTGAGGTTGTTCTGGGAATGAGAATGCACCCCTCTGGGCTTCGGTTTCCTAGCAACAGAGGTAGGAGAACAGATCTTGCCCTATGCCCTTGTGTGGTGTGAAGGTCATTCGGCATAATGGGAGGGAAAATGCTAAGAACCCTTGAGATTTATGAAGACTTTCGGTGTGTGTCTTCTCTTCACTTTACACGAGGAACTGGAACTGCAGAGACTAATCCAAGGTCATGGTGGGTGAAGGCAGGGCCAGGGCCCCAGCTGGCTGTTCTCATCCAAGGCTATGATTCTTCCCATCCCTCCGTGGAGCTGAGCACACACAACACAGCTGTCTCAGTCTGCTCTGGAAAAATACCTCAGACTAGAAGGCACACAGCACAACTGTGGGCTTGGGTAAAGGGCAAGGTGTGACAAGGCAGGCTGCATGCCAAGGCCCCTTCTCCCGCCTTGTAGATGGGTGGATTGTGTTTACACAACTTTTCTGAATGCATGAGTAAAAAGAGAAAAAGAATAGCCTCCCCAGTGTCTATGTCTTTTCTTATAAGGTCACTAATCCCACCATGGCACTCTACCCCATGACCTTATCTAACCCAAATTACCCGGATCCAAAACCATCCTACCAGGGAAGGGCAAGGCCTTAGCAGAGGCATTTCAGTGGAGAGAAGATAGAAATATTCACCCCATAATAATGGACAATACAACAGACTTGTTCATCTCCTGGATCTCTTTAATTTAGGTCAACAAATATTTGCAGACCATGTGTTAGCACCCAAGCTTAGTTGCAGGCACTTGGGGCACAAAGATGAATGGGAGCCCCCAAAAGGCTGGCTTAGAACAGAAAATGTCAGAATAGGTCCTAAGACATTCTCTTCAGGGAAGGGTATGTGAGACTTGTGAGCACTAGAGACTGTATAGGATGGTTGGTTGTAACAACCTTCCCAAGATCTTTCTTCAGACAGCTCTGTTCAAAACAGCTGCAATATGAGTCTGGCAACTAATCAGTACATAATTAATATTTGATAAGGTAATTAATTTATTAATTTACTGGGGAAGGGAAAGAGATAAGTCATTTTCAGCCTACAGATGCCTAGAAGGAGCCACATAGGATCTGTGTGTACCTCCTGGGGTGGGGGGTGCCACTGGTCTGGCTGTACTCTGGTGGTACTGGCATTATGGAATAATCATTTAATATAATGGATTTCTGTGTTGAGCTGGCATAATTATAACTATTTTGGGGGTCCAGAAACTAAGAGGACTCAACTTCAATTTATCTATATTGGATCACTACATGTGTGATGCAAATGCCACTGTAGGGTGTGTGTGTGTGTGTGTGTGTGTGTGTGTGTGTGTGTGTGTGTGTGTGTGTGTGCGCGCGTGCTGGATGGAAGAAGGGAAGGGAAAAAAAGAAAAAATGGATATATATATATATGTATATACATATATATATATACATATATTTTAAAATGGAGATATATGAAAGTCACTTAGTTCTTCTAGCAAATCTGTGGAGAAATTTGTTACCCAGAGAAATTAACTCAAGCTCAGGGTAACTAAGACTAGAACATTCTCGTCAACCTTCCAAATGTTATTTTGAAAAGAGAGAGGGGCGAGAAGGCAAGAGGGGGAGGAAGATGAAGGAAGGGGAGAGGAAGAAACAGGGATGAGGGGGAGGGGGAGAGGGGAGAAGAAGAGGAGGGGAGATTCTGAGTGAGAGATTCCAAGGGAGAGATTCCGAGGGAGAGAGCGCTTTCTCTCACAAACGCTCCTCCAGCTCCTCGGACTACTCTTGGCACAGCTGTCTTCAATATGCCGCTTCTCTTTAGGAGTTGTTAAGTTGGGTCTTTTTTGAAGGTAAAGGGAATAAACATGCACAGTTCAACCTCCTTGCAAAACCAGATACAGACCACAAGACAGTAACGCCTGAGAGTGCACCCCCTACCCAAGTCTGCGGTTCTCACTGAGTCCCCAGGTATCCAGAAATCCTCCAGCTTCATTCAAAGCCTCTGAGCTTTGGGTGGGAATTACATGTTACATTATAGACATACCACGAGAGGGGCTGTTACTAGAAGTTACAGATGTCTTATGGGAAGAGAGTGTCATGATTGTATGGAGTCTGGAAGACCAAACTAATGACTGGGTTCCAGACAGGCGCTAAGGAGGCCATGGCAGAGTCAGGCGCCAGGGAGGGAAATGATCTGGATATGTATGATGGCACTCTGGCTGCCCTGTAAAGGCAGCCATAGCAATGGAGAAATAAAAAGTTCACTGGTCCGGGAACAGATGGTGGTACCTAAGTGATGGCAGTGACTGTGGTTATGACAGAGAAGCGGGTACATGGGAGTTGTATCTGTGGGTAGAATTCAGAGATTGCGGTTTGAATGTGAATGCTTCCCGGAGGCTCCTGCATCGG